TTTTTAAGTTTCAAAAGTAGGTTACTTATGATTGCCAAGCTTGGATTTGAAATTCAAGACTTGTTTTGTAAGTTCAATCATGTTGTTTCTTAGCTCATTTCTTGTTTCATTGTCTCCCAGATTACACAGAAATATTTCCCATGTGGTATACAGTGTGTTACAGCTAATATAAATACCTTCATCCATTGTCATGAATGTAGATCAGTGTGTACGGAACAATACCTTGCTTATCACACAGAGTAACGCATGTCTAGTGTGAGAGTCAGATCAAAGTGAACCAGGCCTGGATGTTGTGTGCGGAATCCAGCATTATCTGACAGCTCAGTGAGAGACATGTCAGGGGCTTCCAGGCCCTCTGTTATGTAGAACTTCCTGACCTTCACAGAGGGTCGAATAACAGGGCTACAGGTGTGTGATAGGGATGGACTTCAGGTATGGGATACGGGTGGGATGTTAAGTGTTGGGTGTCTATGTTTTCCCCATCAGCAGCTCCTCTTAAAAGCATGTATGGTATATGTCAGTGTGGTAGATATTGGTGTGTGATACGAGGTGCGATGTTACAGCATAGGGTGTTGACATTTCCCTCCCAATAGAAGACAGGGGGACTGTCAGCAGGTTCTTAACATCAGTGTTAAGATGGGGTAGGTGTGAGTGAGTTTAGTTTTACGCCGCACTCAGCAATATTCCAGCTATATGGCGGCGGTCTGTAAATAATCGAGTCTGGACCAGACAATACAGTGATCAACAGCATGAGTATCGATCTACACAATTGGGAACCGATGACATGTGTCAACCAAGTCAGCGAGCCTGAACACCCAATCCCATTAGTCTCCTCTTACGACAAGCATGGGTTACTGAAAATCAATATTCTAACCCGGACCTTCACGGGTGATACGGGGTAGGAAGTTACAGTGTATGGTGTTGGCATGTCAACCTTTAGAAGATGAGGAAACTGTCAGCAGGTTCTTTACGTCAGTGGAATATATTGGTGTGTGATACAAGGTGGGATGTTACAGTGTGTGGTGTTGGCATACCCTCTGATTAAATGACTGTGACAGTGTCATCAGATTTTGGACAAAGCTCTGTCAGCCAAGGGTTCGGCTACTCGAAACGTGGTCCCAGTAATGGAAACATCCTGTTATCTGTTCTGACTTCCTTGATACCCTCAATTACAGGTCCCTGTATTATCACCCCCTTGTCACCTAACCATGACCCCCTCTTCACCACCAGCTCTCCTTCACCACCTTGTAGTCACCATATTACACTCATCACCTTGCTGTCGCCTAACCATCTCCCCTGGTCTCCACGCTGTCACCCATAGAAGTCCCCCTGGCCCTACACAGAGTTGGCACTGCTACCTCGCCATTTCACCATCTCTCCCTGGTCTCCACGCTGTCACCCATAGAAGTCCCCCTAGCCCTACACAGAACTGGCCCTGCTACCTCACCATTTCACCATCTCTCCCTGGTCTCCACGCTGTCACCCATAGAAGTCCCCCTAGCCCTACACAGAACTGGCCCTGCTACCTCACCACCTGCCCCTGGTCTCCACGCTGTCACCCATAGCCGTCCCCCTGGCCCTACACAGAGTTGGCCATGCAACCTCACCACCTCCCCTTGTTAATTCCTTCGACCCCACACAGAGCTGGCATGTTGTGGCTGTAATTAGCAGGTCCACAACACAATGGTGTGAGACATGTGAGCCCTGGTGACAGTATCATATTTCCATACATGTGGGGCATTTGTAGCCCAACACGCCAGGTTTCCGGCCACCACTGTACACACATAATTAACTGGTACTTTTACAGTCGCACAGCACAGCACAGCTCTAACATATGCCAAATGACTTGACAGTGTAGCGGGCTAAAGCGTTTTAACACATTTGATCACATACTCTTGCTCTTTATATCCATGGTAATATTTTCCTCCCAGCTTAAAGATAATGTGGTATGGACATAAACATTAACATCTGGGATCACATTAGCCATTTGGATGAATTATGGCTCATTCACAACTGGGAGTTTTTCACTAAATGTGTCTCTTGCTTCACCAAAGTATGGTTCTTTCCAAACAAGAAGAGGTGGGGTAGCCTTGTGGGTCAAGTGTTCACTTGCCTCGCCAAACACCGGGGTTGATTCCCGATATGGATAAAATGCCTGAAACCAGCTATATTATAGCTGGAATATTGCTAAAGGCGACATAAAACTATACTCACTCACTCCTTCCAAACAGTAATACTAGATGGCTTCCATATGAATTAGAAAGCAGTATCAAATAGAGGTGTCATGATGTTAAGTTTCGCATCAATCTTTCGCGTATCAAAGTTTCGCATAAGTTAAGCATCAATCTTGCTTATGAGGAAGGGAATAAGAAATTACTGAAATAATGGAGCACAGGATCCTTTATAGTAACGTCCAGTCTCTGAATATATCATTTTCATTGTAACAAATAAACCCAATTAAATAGAAAAGGAGCGCCAGTCACATGCGAGATTCAGAACCTGAGGTAATCGAGACTTGCTTCATTGAGGGCTTAAGCATTGCAGGGAGGACTAGGCAGAGGGGAAAATAATGTGGTTCAGGGACTGTTCAAAACATTTTCAAAGGCATAGTTCTATATATAATGGCTAAAATTAGCTACAAAATGCCAAAATGTCTTGATTTCAACCTAAACATCAAACACAAATCCTGTGCTTTTTTCATCATAAGGAACTTATTCTCCCATGTATAGGAGCATAGAGTGCCAGGTGTGGACCACTGATGAACCCTGGCTGCTGAAGGTCAGTTTGTTTCCAAATATAAATGTACTCCCACCATGCAGTTGCCCCATGCTGGGCCCTGGTCACACAATGACCAGGACATTAGCTTACCTTGTTCTCCTTGCTGGGATATGGTCATCAAACCTCAGGTCAGACTAAGATTGGACATCAGTGATGAACCACCATCTCAACTTGCTTATCTTATCACATGCTTGCTGGGATATGCATGGTCATCTGACCATAGGCCAGGCTGCTGTCGTGGGTTTGAATCCTAGTTTTACTTGTATTATCATGGGTCTGTTTATACCATACCTGTTGTCATGGGATTCACCTCTTACGACTTTCCTTCTGCATGAGATCCGTGAAGATCCGGGTTAGAATTGGTCTTCAGCAGCCCATGCTTGTCGTGAGAGGCGACTATAGGGACCAGGTGGTCAAACTCGCAACTTGGATGACACAGGTCATTGTATCCCAATGTATCTCGATGCTGTTGATCACTAGATTGTCTGGTCCAAACTCGATTATTTACAAAATGACACCATAGAGCTGGAATATTGTGGAGTACGGTGTAAAACAAAAACACAAAACAAACAAACATTCTGAATGACCCTGACATGCTGTGATATGATTGGTTAAAGTTGTTCTAAACCAACTCACTCACTCACCAAATTGAACATAACATCATAGTGGTCCATATTTTGAGAATTAACCAGAATATTCTAACAAGATAACTTAAAAAATATCTACTTGTTGCCTTAAAGCGTTTGAAGAATATCCTATATAGAATGATAGCATTTTGTAAACGTCCATTTTTTATTCAGTACAGATAAGAGAAAATTTTGTCCATTCAATCTAATCGTTAGTCTGTCATACAGACCCTGAAGCAAATATATCCAAGAAAGCCCACTCAAGTCTAGATTATGTGGCAAGTCTAGATTTCCACAGCTTCAGAAATGAAGAAAGTCTCTGGGCTCCTTTTTATTGTACTTATGATTTTAATTTAAAAACTTTTATATTCTGTAAAATATGTTCATTTCAGAGACTAGCTGTTAGTATTATCTGATCTGTCGATCCACATTTTGTATCACTGGCTGATTGGCTGTCCGTACCTCAGGTGAAGCAGATTGACTTGACATCCTGAGATAGTCCCCCCTTAGAACAATAGCATTACCCTGATTCTCTCCCCAGTACACTCCTCGTTTCATCCCGTTCATCACAGCTCAGAATTACACAGGAATGTCCCATGTTAGTTCTTCATCTTCGTTTGTTTACTAATCAACTCTTGAGACTTGAACGTCAAACTCGTGTGTTGTTGTCGCAGGACCGGTATGTCTGCTTCAAGCCACTGTCGGAGCACACGTAAGTTGTTTACACCCAATAGCTGACGGAGATTATGTACTGGGTTGTCACTGCATGTCCTGCTAAGATGCAGCTATATGTTCATCTCATACCTAGCCAGGGAACTGTGTCACTTACATTGTTGTGGTAGTGTCACTGATGCTGTTGTGTAACAGAAGATGCTGGAGCATTGTTGCTGATGTTGAGGTCTCCATCAGTGTTGGATATTTACAGGCAAGATTCATCAGGTTTGAGGTGTTGGTGTAGATGCTGTAGTTGTGTCAGAAGATTGTGGAACATTGTTGCTGATGCTGAGGTCTCAATTAATACTGGATATTCACCAACAAGAGTCATCAGGTTTGAGGTGTACTGTAGATGCTGTTGAAAGTCTGTTGTCCCATTGTGGGGGTGGTGGGGTAGCCTAGTGGTTAAAGTGTTTGCTCGTCACACCGAAGACCCAGGTTCAATTCCCCACATGGATACAATGAGTGAAGCCCATTTCTGGTGTCCCCTGCTGTGATAATGCTGCAATACAGCGTAAAACCAAACTCACTGTTGTCCCATTGTATTGCTGAGGTAAATATATTCTGTTTTTCTGGGACATTCATTCTTTTCTGTCATAGCTAAGTGTTTGAGTGATGTGTGCAGGTTATCAAGAGACAAGATTATATTAATAACAAACTGTTAGGCTGAAAGTATTGGTGTAATATTATCATATGTTGTGGCCAGTCGCATTGTCTCAATGTTGCCTCATTGTTTCTGATATCGTAATCTGATACTGCAGCTGTGCGGATATTTCTGTCTATTGTAGTACTACTTGGTACATGCTGACAAACATCTGGCTGAGCCAGGAAGAATTGCAAATACCTCACACTGCTATGCATTGTCTAAATATATACCCACACGTCTTGTATACTGCAAGTCTCAAGGCCATGTTGTTATATACGCTGCGGAATTTAAACTATTTGCTTAGCTGAGTGTATAATTAAAGGTGTGTGTCGGGTTTGGTGAGTATTAGCACCATATCAAACAGCTGTCCGTGTCACGCTTGATTGAACTGTGTCATGTGACGTAGAGTGAGGAGCTTCGTGGGACATTTGCCGGGACATTGTAAGAGGACTCACTGCACCTTTTGTCTTACGAGTCTTCAAACACTAAAGCTACAGACACTCCTAGGAATGTTGTCGTTGCACTTGTAGGTGATCCTACAACCATTCAGAGGACTTGCTGCTTGAGTTGTCAGCCAGTGTCAGGGTAATAACCTAGTTATACCACGCTGATCAAAGTAAATACCTTCTCCTGGGATTATCTGCTGTTAACACATAGGTGAGTGACGTCCTTAATTGACCATCCATCAACATGTAATGTATGTATGTGGCAGCACTCAGTGTAGCCTGGGTTTGACTGTCCTGGGGATATATACACCAGCAGGATTAAGGAGGGGAAACACTGCAGGAACAGATCTATTTTGGGGTAAAACAGAAGATATTTCTGTCACTGACAGTCAGTATTTTAAGTGACAGAATCTAAATGTTGTTGTGACAAGACTATTCTGTTTGAGATCGTGACTCATGGATATCAACAGAAGCTCTGTGTGAAGGTACATGGCTTTACAAGTATCTGATATAGAGATATGCTATTCAATACAGTTGAAATAATGTCTATGTGTGTATCTGTTAGGGTAAATATCTGGGTCGTCAGTCTCTAGAACAAATCTGTACTCAATTGGGTATTTCAGGACACCTTCAGTACGTATAGGTACTGCTCTGATGACCTGAATATTGCTTAGTCTTGATTGCCCAGTTAGTGTAAAGAATAGTCATTTGTTTTGATGAATACACAATGCCATTTAGAAATTGATCAAATGTAACATATGCTCATGGAAACGAATAAGGGAACACATGAAAGTACAGGTGTTCCTTTATTCTTTCCCAGGTTTCCTCATAAGGTATGTAGTGCACTGTGAGTGGAATTCTGGAAATGAATAAAGGAACATTTGTACTTTCATGTGTTCCCTTATTTGTTTCTATGAGTATATGTTATATTTGGGATTACACTTTCTGGGTAAAGTACAGATTCTGTTGGGTTGAGTTCCCTTCGGGATTCAAACCCACTCTCAGAATCAGGCACCTTATCGCCACCACACTGAGAGTGTGGCTTTCAAATTCTAGATGGGGCTCAACCTCGAATCTGTACTTTACCGAGAAAGGGTATTACACAATATAACATATGTTACATTTGTCTTTAATGAGATGATAGACTACACTGTTTGGCAGTGTGAAGCACCATACAGTAGTTTGGTATGAATGTCAGTGGACAAAGACCTTGTAAAAGTACTGGAATCTACCTACCTAATATAACATATGCTACATTTGCTTGTAGAGGGATGATTGACTACACTGTTTGGCAGTGTGAAGCAACATACAGTAGTTTGGTTAATAGTCAGAATGTCAGTCGAGAAAAAATGGATTGTCTCTTTCTCCTGGACCCGTGAAGATCTGGGTTAAAATCGATTTTCAATAACCCATGCTTGTCGTAGGAGACTAACGGGATTGGGTGGTCTGGCTCGCTGACTTGATTGACACATGTCATCATATCGCAATTGTGTAGATAATGCTCATGCTGTTGATCACTGGATTGTCTGGTGCAGACTCGATTATTTACACACCACTGCCATATAAATGGAATATTGCTGAGTGCCGGCGTAAAACTAAACTCACTCAATTTCTCTAGCTGAGTTAACAAATGCACAAACTAACAGGCACAGCTTGAATTTAAGCTGATCGTGTTATTATGAATCTGTGTGTGCTGATGGGATTTAGAAATTGCCTGATGAGAAGTGATCCCTGTGTGGACAAAGCCTGGTGTTTGTGGAGGCGAGGATACCACTCTGTCGTCATGCTCTCACTTTGTCTGATGATATTTGCTGGATTTGTTGATCTTCCACAACAGTAAACTCACTGTGCAAGCTTTGCTGATTACGAATGTGTATAATGAGCTGAGTGCTTATGATTTATTTCTGTCATTTGAAAACTCCACAGCCTGTCAGTTAAGCTTAGAACTTGTACAGAACCACAGCTTTGTACAGATCTTTACAAATATGTGGGTATGGATGTACTCTGACATGTTTAAAAATTGGTAAGTTTGGGTAAAACTTATCCAATTGAATTCCGATTATAATTTAACCGAACATTCAACATGGACAGAAAGATGTCTCGTCAACTACAAGTTGATTTTGTTTTATGTAAATTTTGTAAACACACCATTTCTATCAGATACGAAAAAATGAAAGAAAAAATGTAAACCATAAATGCCAAATATGTTAAATTTCCATTACCAATGTACGTATGTGTGACATTATGTTTATATGTATATGGGCCTGAGGCCGCAAATGCTGAATTGAATTGATAAATGACTGAAGAATTTACCTCAGTTATCACCGATAATCAAGATGAAAATGTTTAATTTATTGTTCCAGTTGTACTCTTAAGACACTTTTTTCAGTTCACGGAAGAAAACTGTTCATGAAAAGAGCAATACTAGTATGTACGGTGTATGAGTTTCTGGTCTTCTGGTATGTCTCACACACTCAGGGGTTAAAGCGTTCCCTCGTCACGCCAAAGACCCGGGTTCAATTCCCCACATGGGTACAATGTGTGAAGCCCATTTCTGGTGTCCCCTGCCATGGTATTGCTGGAATATTGCTAAAAATGGCATAAAACCCAACTCACTCATTCACGAATTGCATACATTTACAGAATTATATCACTTCACCAGTCTGACTGAAGACTACCAAAGATTGGTTTATGGAGCCAGCAGTATGGATCTATCACATGAGGTGGCAGGATTATAGCATTGAAGAGTTCACTAATCTCAACCTGAAGACTGTTATAGGCTGATGTTTTCTGTGATATGGCTTATTCAGAGTCAAATATCATAATTTATGGGAGACGAAGACACAGAATGACCGTTTACTAGGGGAGTCATGGAAGGTTTCATGTGACCATGAGATGGGGCCATGTAGGGAGAGATAATTGAAAGAAGGGGATTTATGTCCTGGGTATGGTGGCAGGGGGCAGCTTTATCCAGGAAATGATGGATGCAGTGGGTGAGTCACTGTGTCTAGGAATCTCACCGTATTGATCAGAAATCACAGCATAATCTTTGGCTTCATTTCCCCTGGGCCATTACAGAAAGCCAAAAGTAGTATTATCAGTTGTAAATTTAGATCGTTAACTATAATGTGGCACTTTTGAGCGAGTGAGTGAGTTTAGCTTTTCGCCACTTTTAGCAATACTCCAGCAATATCGCGGCAGGGGACACCAGAAATGGGCTTCACACATTCTACCCATGTGGGGAATCGAACCCGAGTCTTCGGCGTGACGAGCGAACACTTTAATCACTAGGCTACCCCACCACCATGGCACTTTAGACCACTTTTCACGCCTAACCCAGGTTTGAATTACATATAAGGTGTCTCCTGCTGTTCCAAATATTCAGATAATAATGGATCAAAACAAAAGCAATTTTAAGGTATTTCGGCAAATTCCGCCAGCGTTGTTCAGTGTTCATTTGGAAACGAGATAATTAAGTTTATACACGGACTTTGTGATTGTTGATAACATGCGAGCACTATGTCTGACACAGTTCTTGACGCAAGAATTTCCGAGAAGACATTTACTTAAGAAGGGAAAATAAGTAAGCATACATTTAAATCATCAAACAAAAGTAAGTCTTTTATTATTGACAGATGTCGCGATTCGGCAATATTCAAAGTTAACATTGATGTATCGTGGCTCATTTGAAGTATTGTATCGGGTTATACGACAATGTAAAACTTTGTATCGATTCACTGTATCGGTGGCTCATGGATCTATGCGTATCGATGAATCGTCACACCACTAATCCTGAATCCTATTCTTTGAGACTGATGCTATAATGTTTCTTCTACCTACTGAAAATTGTGCAAAACCATCAGAAAATTTGTATCAGAAGTTTGGAAATGAATTTCTTCAGTTTCATAAAAGATTCTCTTGTCTTCTCTTTTATGTTACAACCCTGAATTATTGCTATAAACAGTGTAAAACCATGGCCACTCACTACAAAGCTGTGTTTCTGAAAAACGTATGAAATAGTTTCATTTCTGTTTGGCTACCTCAACTCAGGTTAATTCAGTTTTCCTCTTGATTCTAAGCGCAGGAACAGTGGCTGATGTGGTGATATAAGGGCTCGTCCCAAATGTGGAGCTATCATGTTTGAGTGTGTAGTATGATGTGTAAGAACTTGTTCTATGAGGTTTTGAGGTCGTTTCAGAAGGAACTTTATTCTGTGGGCTGGCACTTTTGGAATCGGTCCAGCTCAGCACGTAATGGACTAATTGGTTTGGAGTCGTTAACAGTTCTGGTTTTCCAGCTCTCATTATGGATTATGTGAATACAGCCTGGAGAAGAGTGGTGTATACGATGCTGTATTGTGTATCAGGATGACTATTAAAGGAGTCCATTGATTGAAAGAAATACTATTATATCACTATTGCAGTACTATTTTATCACTATTGCAGTACTATTGTATCACTATTGCAGTACTATTGCATCACTATTGCAGTACTATTTTATCACTATTGCAGTACTATTGTATCACTATTGCAGTACTATTGCATTACTATTGTATCACTATTGCAGTACTATTTTATCACTATTGCAGTACTATTGCATTACTATTGCAGTACTACTGTATCACTATTGCAGTACTATTGTATCACTATTGCAGTACTATTGTATCACTATTGTAGTACTATTGTATCACTATTGCAGTACTATTGCATCACTATTGCAGTACTATTGCATCACTATTGCAGTACTATTGCATCACTATTGCAGTACTATTGCATCAGTATTGCAGTACTATTGCAGTACTA